TGCCTGGCCAGCACGTTCAGGGGTTTTGGGGTTTAGGACTTAGGGCTAGGGTTGAAGCTGAAAACAAAACCTTCGAAAAGAGCATTGTAAGTGAAATCCGCCGAGGCCTTCCCCCTCGGGCGACCGTAGGGGCGGGTACATTATACCTACTGCCAAGAGACGACCGCTATTTTATGAAGGAGCTCTATTACACCGGGTTCATTCTGGGACGCTATCTATCTTCTTGGACACGGTTCTAGCTGGAGAACCTAACCTCAAAGGGTTCGATGCAAGCGTCGAGATTGCCGTCGCGTAGCATGAAAATTTGGACTACCAGCTGCCAACACATCAAGGGCACCAGAGCCGCATTGAAAACAACCACCACGTCTTCTCAGTGTCTTCTGTCCGATGTAGACAAGAAAGCCATTACACTTCTAAATTGTGTCGACAACTAGCAGCTGCGTACAGCACGGCCATAGTTTTGGGCTTCACAAGATCGCGGCCACATGCCACAAAAGTGCCGGTGACACCGCTCAAGCACTTTGCCAAACGGCGAAAGGCTGCATAGCCTCTTGTTAGACATTGTGGCACAGACGGCTCTAAACCAAGCCAGGAGTACCCATGACCTCCTTTGCAGCTGAACCCGTCGGAGTTGTAGTCACCTTTCCTTGAGTGGCTTCAAGTTTGGGCAATTCAAGGACTGTCTGGCTTGGGGGCCCTCAAGCCTAAACCGGCCAATACTAGTCACAAGCACCGGGGCAACAGGAACCTTTCAAAAACGTGCGAGAGCTCAGGACGCCACTGGTTCAAGCTCATGCAGATGGGGCATACCCAGTTGTCCTGAACGAGGACTTTAATGTTTCTGCCTGTGCTGTCCCCACTGCTGTTCTTGAGTTCCACGTTCCATTCCCTCTCTGGCAGACCTCGTCTTCAGACGGAGGCGTGTATTCAGCCATCACCGTGTCGATGTCCTTGCGCTTTGAGATATGCCCGTGCATGGAAAAGTTGATTAGCCGCCGAAGTAGTAATCATCGTAGTAGTAGTCGTCGTCGTCGTAGTAGCAGTAGCAGTAGCAGTAGCAGTAGCAGTAGCAGTAGCAGTAGCAGTAGCAGTAGCAGTAGCAGTAGTAGTAGTAGTAGTAGTAGTAGTCGTAGTCGTAGTCGTAGTCGTAGTAGTCGTAGTAGTCGTAGTAGTCGTCGTAGTAGTAGTAGTAGTAGTCGTCGTCGTAGTCGTAGTCGTAGTCGTAGTCGCAGTCGTCGTCGTAGTAGTAGTAGTAGTAGTCGTCGTCGTAGTCGTAGTCGTCGTAGTAGTAATAGTAGTAGTAGTAGTAGTAGTAGTAGTAGTAGTGGTAGTAGTAGTAGTAGTAGTAGTAATAGTAGTAATAGTAGTAATAGTAGTAATAGTAGTAATAGTAGTAATAGTAGTAGCAATAGTATGAGTAGTAGTAGTAGTAGTAGTAGTAGGAGTAGCAGTACCTGTAGCCCTAGCAGTAGCAATAGCAGTAAGTAGTGGTAGCAGTAGTAGTAGTCGTCGTCCTCCTCCTCCTCCTCGTCGTCGTCGTCGTAGTAGTAGTAGTAGTAGTAGTAGTAGTAGTAGTAGTAGTAGTAGTAGTAGTCGTAGTCGTAGTCGTAGTAGTAGTAGCAGTAGCAGTGGTAGGAGTAGTAGTAGTAGTAGTAGTAGTAGTAGTAGTAGTCGTAGTCGTAGTCGTAGTCGTAGTCGTAGTCGTCGTCGTCGTCGTCGTCGTCGTCGTCGTAGTAGTAGTAGTAGTAGTAGTAGTAGTAGTAGTAGTAGTAGTAGTAGTAGTAGTCGTAGTAGTCGTAGTAGTAGTCGTAGTAGCAGGCAGTAGCAGCAGCATAAGCTTGTGCGAGTACTGGGCATGTGGCAGCGCTTGCGTTTGGACAGAACGCTCTCCCAAAGAAAAAGGAGAAACTCACAAACCCTCATGGCACAGAATGGTAGAGGGCCAAAAAAAGCCGGACATGCTTACAGCAGCGTTCCCAACAGGACTCTAACCGACTCTAACCGTGATGACGGACAAGAAAGTCAGAACATCATTGGCGCGTCCTCCCTGCTGAGCAGGAGCAGCCGGTCCATGGCATCGAGATGAATGCCGCGACGCATACCCCAGCGCATGACCTACAACGCACCAGGCAAAGGATGCACATCACAATTTGGATGCCTGGAATGTGCCGAGCGCACCTTCTTGCGGTACTCGGTGTCCTTCACATTATGACGTCTGCGGATGCCCCATGGAGCTGTCTAACGTCAAGGATTTCTGCTTGCGACTCTTGTCCAGCTATAGCCACGATTTTGAAGCTCCATGTGCAACTTGCGGTGTTGCCGTGCAACTTGATGCTAGAAGGCCAGCTGGCTTCACTCCTTTGGATGATCGGTCATCAGCAGCTCGTCACCCAAAGCCCAGTACCTTTGCAGGGAACGTCTGACTCGACGGAGCATTCTCATTCCATGGTGGCCGCCCTCTCCGCCCTCTCCGCCCCCTCCCACGCCGCTGGACCCTATCAGCTGATTTAAAGGGCCCCAGTGCATGCCCGCCCTCTCCGCGGGCTGCATGGTCCCATGGCCCCCCCTCATGGCCCCATGCCTCTGGCCCCCAATAGCTCATGGCTCCATGGCTCTATGGTCCCATCCCGCCCCATGGCTCCCATGGCCTCATGACCCCATGCCTCTGGCCCCCAATGGCTCATGGCTCCATGCTTCCATGGTCTCATCCCGCCCCATGGCTCCCATGGCCTCACGCCCCTGGACCCTATCAGCTGACTTTAAAGGTTCCAGTCCATGCCCGCCCTCTCCGCCCTCTCCGCCCCCTCCGCCCTTCCCGCTCCCCATGGCTCCATGGTCCCCGTTCCCTCCGCCCTTCCCGCCCCATATGGCGCTCCATGCCTCCCATCCCCCGATCCCCACATGGCCCACTCCATGGTCCCATCCCGCCCCATGGCTCCCATGGCCTCACACCCCTGGACCGTATCAGCTGACTTCACAGTCCGCCCTCTCCGCCCCCGCCCCCTCCGCCCTTCCCGCTCCACGGCGCTCCATGGCTCCATGGTCCCCGTTCCCTCCGCCCTTCCGGCCCCATGGCGCTCCATGGCCCCACGCCGCATGGCTCCCACGATCAGACAACTTCAAAGGGTTCAGTGTCTGGACCCTATCGCCCTCTCCGCCCCCTCCGCCCTTCCCCACCCTCTCCGCCCCCTCCCTCCGCCCTTCCCCCAGGGCTGCATGGTCCCATGGCCCCCATGGCCTCATGGCCCCATGCCTCTGGCCGACTCATGGCTGGCTGGCTTAGTCCATGGCTCCCATGGCCTCCGCCCCTGGACCCTATCAAAGAGCCCCAGCACATGCCCGCCCTCTCCGCCCTCTCCGCCCCCTCCGCCCCATCCGCCTTCCCGCTCCATGGCGTCCCCGTTCCCTCCGCCCTTCCCGCCCCATGGCGCTCCATGGCTCCATGGTCCCATGCCCCATGGCCCACAATCAGACGACTGTTCAGTGTATGCCCGCCCTCTCCGCCCTCTCCGCCCCCTCGGCCCTTCCCCCCAGCTCCATGGTCCCATGCCCCCCCCCATTGGCCTCATGGCCCACTCCATGGTCCCATCCCGCCCCATGGCCTCACGCCCCTGGACCCTATCAGCTGACCGGGCCCCAACCCCACCCCCCCCTCCGCCCTTCCCGCTCCATGGCGCTCCATGGCTCCGGTCCCCTCCGCCCCCTCCGCCCTTCCCGCTCCATGGCATGGTGCCCGTTTCCTCCGCCCTTCCCGCCCCATGGTCCCATGCCCCATGGCTCCCACGATCAGACGACTTTAAAGGGTTCAGCGCATGCCCGCCCTCTCCGCCCTCTCCGCGCCCTCCCCCAGGCTCCATGGTCCCATGGCCCCCCCATGGCCTCATGGCCCACTCCATGGTCCCAGCTCCATGGCGCTCCATGGCTCCATGGTCCCCGTTCGCTCCGCCCTTCCCGCCCCATGGTGCCCCATGCCGCATGGCTCCCACGATCAGACGACTTTAAAGGGTTGAGTGCATGCCCGCCCTCTCCGCCCTCTCCGCCCCCTCCCACGCCCCTGGACCCTATCAGCTGATTTAAAGGCCCCCAGTCCATGCCCGCCCTCTCCGCCCTCTCCGCCCCCTCCGCCCTTCCCCGCCTGGACCCTATCAGCTGACTTTCAAGGGCCAGAGTGCATGCCCGCCCTCTCCGCCCTCTCCGCCCCCTCCGCCCTTCCCGCTCCATGGCGCTCCATTCCCTCCGCCCTTCCCGCCCCATGGCGCTCCATGGCTCCATGGTCCCATGCCCCATGGCTCCCACGATCAGACGACTTTAAAGGGTTCAGTGCATGCCCGCCCTCTCCGCCCTCTCCGCCGCTCCATGGCTCATGGTCCGCTCCCATCCGCCCTCTCCGCCCTCTCCGCCCTTCCCGCCCCATGGCGCTCCATGGCTCCATGGTCCCATGCCCCATGGCTCCCACGGCCTCACGCCCCTGGACCTTATCAGACGACTTTAAAGGGCCCCAGTGCATGCCCGCCCTCTCGCCCTCTCCGCCCCCTCCGCCCTTCCCCCCAGGGCTGCATGGTCCCATGGCCCCCCCATGGCCTCATGGCCCCATGCCTCTGGCCCCCAATCCTTGACCCTATAGAACCCTATACAAGCCGAAAGAAGCCAATGGAACCCGACAGACAGAACGCTGTGGAACCCAGCCCCGTCTCCCCAACAAAAACAAAATAACGCTAAACCCTAAACCCGAAACCGCTAGAAGCGAAAAAGACGCGGCACTGGGACTCTCAACGCTCCTCGGGGATCCAGACGTCGGAATCGCAGGCCACCGCCTCTTCGATCCAGCAGCAGCCCCGCATCCACAGCGTCAAGTTCCGGGGTCGGCGGCACTGGCGGTAGCCATTAAATATTCACAGTTTAAGGTTTAGGGTTTACATACGTTTAGGTTTAAGGTTTAGCCCCCTTCCTGTGCTGTGAATGGGGGGTTCGGCTTTGGGGTTCAATGTTTAGTTTAAGGTTTAGGGAGAGGTTTGGGGGTTTGGGGAGGGCCCGCGGGGGGCGGACACCATGTTGCGGGGGTTGGGTTCCATGGGGGGGGGGAACATAAGGGGGGGGGGGGGGGGTAGGGCCCTGCTCACATCCTGCAGTCCTTCGGATCCCTTCGGTCCCATCAGTTCCCTGTAGATCCCTTCGGGAGCGGACGCACAACCCAGGTGCATGTCTGCAGTGTTATCCAACTTCTCTGTCATCGTAAGCCTCAGAATAGCGTCTGGCGCTGGACTCGCTAGACTCATTGCTACTGTCTCAACATGCAACACTCTAGGAGCCCAGCTTGGTGTCCAGAATGTCTTGGAAGAGCTTTGGCAAAGGATTCTCAATCGAGATCCTGCGCAAGTTCCGCAGCGCCGCGGGAACTTGGGACGTTTTCAAAGCCAGCTGCAATGAGGCGATGAGGCGAGGCTCGTTTTTTGCACCGACGTGCATGATTCGGTTCCGACATAACATGCAATCTCTGAAGCTGCGCAGCCCAGACGCCTCTTGAGCAAGACAAGGCCTCTGACTCTGCCCCTGCAATGCAGCTTCCGGTCCTGCTGTATGCCCTTCTTTTGCGGTCTTTGTAAGGGCCACACCTGGCCAAACACACTGAGCATGCTACTGGGGTGCTACGGCTGAAACGAATCTCCAAGCTGGGCTCACATGTCGAACCAGTCCGATCTCACTTCAACCAGGAAGTTTCGGGGGCACCAGGTTGCATCGTCAAACGCCTTGGGACACGGGAAGACGGATTAAGCAGAAAACCCACGCTGCAGAGGCTGCGAAGGTGCCAATGACACAGTGACTGACGGTATTCTGAATCGCATGATCCGGTGAAGTTTCTGCGCCGCACGCAGATTAAATGTGCTGGTTGGTTCCTACCGCTTGTCATGTATGCCGTCTTGCACAACCCAAACCTATAGTCTGACAAGGCACCACGGTCCGTGGCAGGTAGCGGTCATCAGACACCAACGGATGTCCAAGACTCTTCAGTGTTATTCGGACCTGCGAGACACAAGATGCACAGGCAGATCCGACGGTCCTCACTACATGGTGCCGCCATGCTCATGCAATGCTTGGAATGCCTGGTGGGTGATGCCGCTGAGAATGTTGACGTAGACCTGCTGCTTAGCTTGGGGTCCTGACCCCTGATGATCGACTGCACACCCGTGCACACCCCGATGCTCTTGGCATCTGTGGTCGACATGAAGGATTCTGTAACCCTAAACCCTAAACCCTAAACCTTAAACCCTAAACCCTAAATCCAAGTTGAATCACTTGGCCCACCAAGCCTTGCCATGCCACAAGAGTTGTGGGACTGGTAAGACATGTCAGACCCGCCAGGGAATACTCCGAACCATCGGACTCCTTCTTGTAGTACCTCAAAAAAAATGTGGGGTCAGGAACTCAAGGCACTGCTTCTCTGGCCCGCTGCTGTTTAGGGTTTAGGGTTTAGGGTTTAGGGTTTAGGGTCATATGTCTGTTCCCCAACCCCCAGTCCATGACCGCTCATCCAGGTATCCAACGCGATTGGCTTCACGAAGGTCTTTCCCATCTTCACGAGTCGGTTTTTCCACCAGCCTTGCTGAGACCTGGCCGAGTTCAGCAGCGACTCTGTCTAGGCGTACATGATGCATGGAACCAGCTCGAATGGAGACAATCACTGCCTATGAATTACATGTGGTATGACTTTCCGAAAACATCACATCAGCTGAGTCGAAAATCGCGCGTGGAAGCAGGTCGCAACAATGCGAAAGAGTGGATGCGCACGCGTGGGCGCAATGCGCACGCGTTGCGAACACGAGAAAGAACTGAGCCCACTCTCGTCAGCTTGAACAACCTTCGGGAAGCATTGCAGTGTCTCTTGTGAGACCAACAATTCCATCAGCCGAAGTCACTTGCTGTAGAAAGGGTCGTTGTATTGATCGTGCTTCACCATAACCTGCAAGCACAGCAGTACGCACAGAGCTCCGGCTCTCAAACAGAGCCAGATTCAGCAACTGGAGAAGCATTGGATCCCTCAACATCCCTTAACCTGCTTTTGTCAACTCGAGCTATCCACTCTTCAATCATCTCGCTAAATCTCGCCGTCCCCCTGGCTGACCCTGATCTGGAATAACCCCAAAGTGTCTGAGGCTGCGCACTGTGGTTTCGGCTTGTCCGCCCAGCTGCGCGAACTTGGCCCTGCAAGTGACGAAGGGCAGCGCATTGAACAGTTTGGCTCATTAGTGAGCTCCTGCCGGCCAGCTCTTACTGGCCGAGCCTTTCCTGCAGGAAACCCTCCGTCCTGATCCATGATGCCATCATGAGCAGGCTCACTTGGTCCCAGGCTCCATGTACTGGATTCGGTTCTCGAGCTTGCCATGAACGAGGCACAGATATGCCTCCATCATTCTCCCGACTCCAACATTCTTGCGCAGCAGACCCCAAACACAAGACCACCACGCCAGCCCGAAAGCGACGACGCTTCTGGACTTCACGAGCAGCATGCGCACGAGACCGCGGCGGGAGTGCGACTTCAAAGGCTGCTGAAAACACGAAACGCTTTTATCCGATCACATGGAATATATCGTTCTACCGACGAAAACAAGGCGTCTGCAAGAGTCCGAGATGCTTTCGATGTCTTCGCGGCGACGCCGAGTGGCTGAAAAAGTGCACTTAGACCGAGGCAGGAGGGCGAATTCGACCCATGGAATGCGCTAGGGGGCCATATGCAAGAGCGCCATATGTCACACCGGGCAGTACCAGAACCACGCGTTTTCGCAAGGCATGTCCTACGACGACCCCCCCCTCCCCCCCCAAAAAAAAAAAAAAAATCTGCAGCCCGCACCATCCCGCACCTACATAGGCTTTGTCCCAAAACGCGGCCGCGGGCACTCGCACACACCGCAACATAGCCCTCCTTACCCTGAACATTGGAACCCATTTCGCTGACGCATAATTAGTGTGGGGAACATGGTGCATGACAACTCTGCACTCCACACACCCGCCTTGCTGAAAATGTGCTCCTTCAGCTGCACCTGATCTCATGAAGCACACTCGCGCTTGATGGAAGGGCAGTTGAGGCCTGTGCGCATCAGGCCTTGCTAACGATACTTCGCCACTGCCATTCCCATTGTCTAGTCGATAGTTGTTACGAGGACCTCTGATGTGCCATGTCTCACAATCCTCAAAGAAAAGGAATCAGTTGCCGCTACTTAGCCATTCCACGGCGAAATTGTTAGGAGGCCCATGTAAGAACTAAAACAGGCCGCCGCAAAGGCTCAGCTTTTAAGTCTGGGGCGCACTAAAAAGCTTATAAATTAAGATTGTCGCGACTTGACATTGCCCCTGGCAGGAACTAGTCACCATGCTGGAAATCTTGCCCGCAAGCCAAACAAGGGTACTTTACTATGGCGAGCGCCACTGCAAGTGACTGTACTTTAAGACCCATGTGGCGTGCCCAGCAGGTGATGTCTAGTCGGTTGCATCATCAAGCTGCAGTGAGCCACGATTGCAATGTATCTACTGTAGACAGTCATCTAGGACTGCATCTTGCCGGGTGCACTGTTCTGCCCCTGGCATGGCGCTAGCTTGTCCTAACTTGCCCTGACCACGCAGCTTCGACTTCTACAGCTCCGTTTTCCTGGGTGCACTCGAAACCGGAATAGCACTCAGAAAGCAAAGCCTGGAACTGTGCAACTACCAGGATGCAGGCATCTTGGCCGATCGACGGTGCGAGCTTTAAATTTGCATCCTCAGCCTCGGCGTTGAGCAAGCTCCGCGATCAATCCTGTTTCCAAGTCCTCCTCAAAGAGCTGGGCTGCTGCCACCAATGACGTCTGCAATCCATTCATGTCCATGAAGGAGGCTTGTGACAGCACTCGCACTGCAAGGTCTGGCACAGCAAGGAGGACTTGTGGTGCTGAATCCTGTAGGTGGGCAGCTGTCCAAAGGCAGAGCGACAACTGCTGGCAATTGAGGTGGTTCACCTTGTCAGCGATCGTTTTTGCAACGGCTTCCACAGCTGTCAAGACCTCTGGCGCTGCCTCTTGCAAGGTTACGGCTGCCCACAGGTAATTCACGAGGTGTACAGGACTCATGCGTGACGACATGATTTCTGCACGTCTTGCCAGGGCAGGCACAGGAGCCAAGACCATCGGCTCTACACTGTACAGGGCTGCGACCGCCCAGGTGCAATTTGAAACGTCTTGGGAACTCATGCCATCTACCTTGCTCATGCCATCTGCATTGTGAACAAGGCTCTGGGCGATGGCTGCTGCAGCTGGCAAGACCGAGGGTGATGCACTTTGTATGGTCGCTGCTGCCCACATGCAATTTGCCAAGTGTGAAGGCCTCATCTTTCTAACTGCCTGCACCACGCCGTCTGCAAGGGCTGGTACAGCAGTCAAAACCGTCACGTCTGCAGCCTTCAATCTCGCGACTGCCCAGAGGCAGTTGGACAAGTCTTGCGGGCTCATGCTGTTCACCTTCTGCGGTATGTTCTCAGTAATGGCTGCCACGGCTGCTAAGGTCCCTGGCGCCGTGGTATGGAGCCTCGCCAAAGCCCATAGGCAATTTGATACCTGGGGTGGACTGAAGCTGTGAGCTTGTTGAGCTACTCTAGCTGCAAGGGTAGTGACAGCAATTGAATGATTCATCGCCCCCTCCAGTGTAGCCATTGCCCACAAGCAGTTCGCCAACTCGTGGGGCTTCATGCAGGGAAGATTGTGCGCAATGTTCCCTGCAATGGCCTCCGCAACCGTCAGCACGGATGGTGTTGCCCCGTACAATCTCGCGGCTGCCCAAAGGCAGTTGGCCACCTCTTCAGCCTTCAAACTCTGTGCTGTGCATGCCAAGTGTGTGGCGAGGGCTGGCACAGCATTCAATACAGCCGCTTGCGCACCCTGCATCTTCGCAACGGCCCATAAACAGTTGGATAGATGCACTGGCTTCATGCCATGTATCTTGTCCGGTATGCAATCTGTCACTGCGGCCGCGGCTGTCAAGACCTGATTGTGCGCAATGTTCCCTGTGGCTTCCTCAACCGTCAACTCGGAAGGTGTTGCCTCGTACAATCTCGCGGCTGCCCAAAGGCAGTTGGCCACCTCTTCAGACTTCAAACTCTGTGCGGTACATGCCAAGTGTGTGGCGAGGGCTGGCACAGCATTCAATACAGCCGCCTGCGCACCCTGCATCTTCGCAACGGCCCATAAACAGTTGGATAGATGCTCGGGCTTCATGCCATGTATCTTGTCCGGTATGCACTCTGTCATTGCGGCTGCGGCTGTCAAGACCTCTGGTGCTGCTGCATGCAGCTTGGCTGCAGCCCACAAGCCTTGTGCCAAGTTGCTCGGGCTCATTCTCTCTGCTGTCTGCACGATACCTGCTGAGAGGGTGGGCACAGCGGTCAGATTTGTCAAGCCATTTCCATGTGACCTGGCAAGTGCCACCAAAGCGGACACGTCTGCAGGTGTCACAGTCATTCGCAGGATGCTCCCAGGGCACGCAGCTGTCCAAATACCGTGCTGCCGCTGGCGTCGACTTGTCCAACTTGAGTGTCCTATCCAGCCTTTGAGCCTTCGCTCTTGCGGCATGTCGCGGCATGTCTTGAAACACATTTACTTTAAGTGTCCTTGCAACCTGCACCCTTCCGGTGTTTTTGCTGAACGCGTGTAAATTTCAGGGATCCGAAATGGGGCAGGGCCGATGCCCGCGAACCAACATGCAGAACGGTATGTACGAGAAATGACGAAGCCCTCAACACGTCAAAGGTTCCTAGATATGCAATGCTACCTGCAGGAATCGCTGCGCCCTCCATGTCTTTGCCACAAGGACTGGCCTGGCATGGGAGCTTGCCATGACGGCTGGTGATTCGAACTCCCAGATGTCACAAACTTCTGGGGAGGGCGCTCAGCGTTAAAGGTCTGCAAACAAGGACGACTACTAGTCGACTTGTTCCCTTCTCTCATCGGAACCTCATCGACACTGAGGCAACACACCAATGTCGCAGAATCCTATATTGCCCTTGATTAGTAGCTAGCAAACCTGAAACAGTGAATCTGCAAGTTGCTATTCCTCCACATTCTTGCCGACAGATGGCGGGCATGGTACTTCTTGCAGCCGACCTGAAACCCAGCCGAAACCCGAAACCCCCACAAGGCATGAAACATTTCGAAGCGAGCCATGTTGCACCCGTCGGTTTCCATGTCCAGGCGCTGGATGAACCCGAAACTGGGCGGCTCTTGCACATACAGGATGGCGTTGAATATTCAGGCATGGGTCACTCAATATTCTGGATAGGGCTGTTTCGTCATCGTTTGGTGATGCCTCCTTCGGCTTGAGAGCAGTTCTGCGATGTCGGGGAGCCTGCATTTCGGCGTAATCCCCCACCTCAGCCCCTTGCATTTTCCGAGGACCTTTGAGCCTTCTGTTTCCTGTCGCGAAAACGTAGAGAAAGGGTGCACTGTCCTGCACTTTGGCTCCTGGATGGGCTGTCTTCGTGCGATCTGGGGGGGTTGGGGGGGGGGGGGGGAATTTGCATTTCGTGGGTGCAAATGGTGGTGCCCTCGATTGCTCTCTTGCCTCGACCCGAATGCAAAGCTCTTGGGTGCTCGTGAGAGGTGTTGGAGCGGCCCTGGAGTGCCAAATCACATCCGGCCCAGGCCCCGTACTCCAAAATCGTGCTCGCGCCAGGGGGCGATTGAGGGTCGGGGGGGGGGGGGTTGGGCCACTTGAAAACACGACACTCGCATGATGTGTTTGGACCCGGCTTAGAAAAGAAGGGGGGGGGGGGGGGGTCATTCCTTCCAGTTCTGTCCTTCCTTGTCCTTCCTTATCCTTCCGTTGTTCCTTCTTTCCTTTCCCTTCTGTTCTGCTCTCTCCCCTTTCCCGATTGAAAGAAGTGTTTTCGATTGGCAGCCACATCCCTAGATACGTCTGGGAGACAGGCTCTTGCACCTGCCGAGCCTGCGGATCTTCGGCCGACATCTCCTTCCCGACCTTAGCTGAAATCGGACCACACTTCCACCAAAGCTGAAACTTTAGGTTCCAAAAAATTCGCAACAAAACCAGCAGTCCTGAAATCAGATGCATCGCCTGTAAGGCTCGGGCTATTTGACTACACACAACTTTGAACAACAGCCGGCGTTGGACGACGGCAGACTTGTTTCCCAATGCAACCGCTCAGCAAAATCTAAGCCATCCTTAAAAGTATGAGAAAGACGAGACAAGATAGAACTAATTGCTTTCCAACAGTGCTGTGCCCGGGTCTCACACCGTGCTTTGTGCGATGAAAAGCAAGAGTTGGCATTCAGCGAAACAGGGAAGATGCGGATGCTGCTCCCAAAAACCCGAAAGTAGAATCTGCCGAGCCAAGGCGCCCATTGGTTGCCACACCACAGTCCATGCCAGGTCTGAGGCGCAGAAGATGGGTTCAGCGTTTTTGGGGTTATTGGGGTTTAGGGTTCTTGGGGGTTATTGGGGTTTTAGGGGAAGGCTGCTTGTGAGGTTGGTTGAAACTTGTAGCCCCTCCGCAGCCCAGCCCAGTACATTGAGATTCAGGCAGTTAAATCGTTATCCGGCCGGCCCAAATTTCAGGTTTTGGTTTCCGGCCTTCTTTGGGGGGGAGGGAGCGGTTCTATGCGACGAGGTTTAGGAATCTGTAGGCCTTTCGGCCTTACAACGAGTGGCGGTTGGAGCTAGGTGTGGAACTGGGGACTTTGTGGTTTCTGGCGCTGGGCCAGGAGGGTAATTACTGCTGGACCTTGTTTTAGGGTTTAGGGTTTAGGGTTGCAAAAAGAGGTTCCGCAAGGAAAAGCTCGGGGGCTGCGAAGAAGATCCCGCTACATTGGGAGGGTCCTGCGATCACAACAAGTTTCCCTCCCCTCACCACCCCTCCTTCTTCCCTTCTTGCCCCCCCAAAAAGGAGGAATACAAGTTGGTTGGCACCGCCCTGTCCTGCACGGTGCTTTTCTTGTCAATCCTGGCCGAATACCAAGATGCGGAACGAGTACAAGACGTAAAGTTGCCCTAAGGAGGCCTGAGCCACACCCACAATGAGTTGAAGTTCCTACAGAAGACAGCATGATGCATGAGCACTGAACTGCATCCTTTTCGTCAACAGCTAGGATAGGACACAATTCTGTGCCATACAAGTACGACTCGAGTCGAGTGACTCGAGTCGAGTGACTCGCAAACTGACAATCGAGCCAGGGTTGCCAGATGGCATCCGATGCTTCCTGCTTGCTCTTGAACTTGTCTGGGCGCGACGCGGGCGGTTCAGCTACAAGGCCGTTTGCCACACTTGCTAAAAATCTACGTTTGCGGAGAATCCCGAAAGCGACATGAAACAGAGGCATCAAACAATGTCAACTAAACAGTTGGGCCGCACATATCGGCCTGTTATGCAGACCAGATCCAAACTGAGTAAACAAACCTTTAAACAAACTCAAGCCACTCAATCATGTGACCCTAAACCCTAAACCCTAAACCCTGGGCTTTGAACCCAGCGTCTGACACGCAGCTTGGTGCGCGGCACGGGCTGAACTTAGTTTTCAGCTCTGAATTCCAAATCGCCTGGCCGGAGCTGGACAGTGGTTGTCGTTCTGTTGCAAGATTCGAGATCTCTGCTTGTCGAACGCGCAGCGGCAAACTCCACAACGGACAGTCAAAGCGGTCATCCCGAACATCAGCCCCAAACCGGGTCCGAGAAGCGGTAACACATGCCGCCAAGCACTGGCACGCCACCCATGTGCCACAATGGCGGCTTGTAGATGACCCAAACCTCATCCTCGGCAGACGGGGGTAGTTCGATTTGAAATTTCGAGTGCTCTCCTGAAGTACAGCAGGCCTTTCTTGACAGGGAGCTCCGGCACTGTCTTAAGAGTCTTGCCAGAAGCATTGTTAGCCCCTCGGCTCAAGAAGTTGCATGCCGGTGGCATGCTGCCTACCATGGGTCCGTCAGCTAGATACAGCTATAGTTGAGGGATAACGAAGTCTGGTCTGCGTACCACTGCGATGACATGCGACGACTGCCTTGACACTGTTGCTGCTGCTGCTGCTGCTACATACGGAAGCGGGTTCAGGGTTCTCTGTTGGAAGGAGCTGACGGCATGTATCAGCATGAGACGGAAAATGCTGAGCAAGCAGCACCACTACCATTCGCCGGATATTACCCAGCTTTCGCTCTGATCATAATGCAGCGACTACACAATGATCGGACGCGGTGGCCCGGTAGCTCCGAAGACCGGTTCACAGCTTAGCATCACGTCACTGATTGTCACTGTCTTACGCGAGCACCTGCGCTACTGCAACAATCTCGTCGCTGCGGCTTTCCGGCAATGGGAAAACGCATGCAAGGCCCGTGCGGTGCCATGCCGAGTTGATCGGCGAGCGGCGAGCTCAAGCGACACACGGAATGCCCAAACTTACAGATGTGTCCAACTTGGCGGACACCAAACGCTGCCAAACGCCAGAAAGCAATAAAAGCATTTCAAAGCATTTCGGGGCATATTTCGGCGGCCGGGAAGCTCATGAGCTACCCCTTCTTTTAGAAAGGCCGCGCGGGCTTCGATTGGATTGGTGAGTACCTGTACAAAAGCCGGGCAACATGATGTCAGATGGCCTGCAAAGCTGGTCCTTGGCTGAGTCGCTTCCAGTGCTCCCAGGTCTAGATTCCATTCCCGAGCCTTGCACGTGATACTCTAAAAAACTAGCCTTCATGCAACGAAGCAGCTCTGTAGACCCTATTGCTTGTGGCAGGCCGTCCAGGTGTCCACAACGTCTTCGTTTGCACGCCCAGGTGTGAAGGAGGCGATCCAGTTGACCACAGTTCGCAATGGAACGTTTTTCCTTAAGTATGCGGAGCTCCACACGCACTTGGGTTGCTTTCCGAGGTCCCTCCTATCCGCCTATCTGCCATCTTGCCATAGAGCTTCGGAATCATCTGCTCCACTGGGACCTACAAGCCAAACCCCAATCTCCCGAAGCCGGAGGCCTTCAACCCTAAACCCTAAACCCTAAACCCTAAACCCTAAACCCTAAACCCTAAACCCTAAACCCTAAACCCTAAACCCTAAACCCTAAACCCTAAACCCTAAACCCTAAGCAAGCCAAGATGCTTCTTGGAGACCTTCTTGACCAAGAGCTTGAAGCGCTCGAAGGTCAGCCCTCGCTTCGACTCCTTGCAGTCTTTGAACCTCCGCAGCTTTCTTTGATTCAATGTAAACCCTACACCCTAAACCCTAAACCCTAAACCCTAAACCCTAAACCCTACACCCTAAGCCTCGAAATTTCCAGAATTTCCGAAGGATCCCTAAATCCCACGAGCCCGAGGCCCCCCCGAATCAAGTGGGTTTGCGAACCAATGCTTAAAGAAAAAGCTTCTGGGGGACGGCAGGAACGAAAGCTAGTCCAGCTGCTCGAAAAGCCACAGGAGAACAGCGTCGACCGAACAGGCAAGTGTGAGACTTGCAGTTGACCACCCAGTGCACTCAGAAGGCAGCCAGTCAATGAAGATTCTGGAGAGCGAAATGAAAGAATCCCTGGCCCGAGTGCCGAGCCCCAGGTCCTGTATCCTCAGAGAACCCCGAGTATCCCCATAGCATCCCGGGACTGCTCAGGCTGAAGGGCATCCCACAAAGAATCCCCTGAGCATTAAACTCATCCGTACATGGTTTCGACACTGCGCTTGGAGATGCAGTGATGTGGTTTCGACGCTGCTCTTGGAGGTATTCTATTGTAGATGTTTGCTGCTGAGCCTACAGGGCGCAGGGCGCAGGGCGCTTAGCCGAAGCGCCTCAAGAGTGCATGCAGGCGGACAAGGTACCATGAAGACCTGTAAAGCCTGTAAAACCCCAGCCTTGGACATCGAAGGTGGGCCCCGTCCCCACAGCCCTGTTGTTCAACCTGATGGCTGGTAAGATACTCCCCCAGCTCCCGGAGGCTAGATTCCAGGCTTTCTGACAAAAACTAGGACGCGAGATAATCAAAGATGGCATCCCAAGCGTGGAAACCCTAAACCCTAAACCCTAAACCCTAAACCCTAAACCCTAAACCCTAAACCCTAAACCCCAAACCAAGAGGCCCCTATAAGAGGCCCCCCAATCAGTGAATCCGGGCTGCAGAGCCATCGCCTCGGTAATGCCAAAGCCAGTGTCGTCCAAGAGATCCAGCTGGCCTTGGAGGGATGGTCAACGGTCAGCAGACTCTGTTTATTTCTACTAGCTTAAGAACCCCAAAAGAACAAAAAAACAACAATCCCTATAATCCTACCCTTGATAGGGAAGAGTATCTCCTTTTTTTCAGGGTTCTTAAGCAGTTAGTAGTTTAGGGTGTAGGGTAGGGCAGTTTACGGTTTTGGGTTTCAGTGACTTACTGTACAGCCAAGGGCCGAGTGGTTGGATTGATGAAAATTCTGATCGCAGATTAGTTGTGAAAAGCCGTCACGCCCGCATAGACGCACACATGATTCGGGCCGAGGTCGGCTACAAGCAACAGATTGTGCAACATCCCAGCAGCCTTTGGCCAGTACAGCATCTGCTTCATCTGAATTGATACATGTCCGCACACGAGGAATCTGAAAAGCACATCTATCAGCAAGTTCATCCAGAACCATGTGTACAACCCGAAAGACGCCGTTGGTCCAATAAACGAAGGAATAACATGCGGTACCATGATACCGTACATGCGGTACCATGCAAGTACCCAGGTGGTCTTACACAGCAAACAAACGCAAAACAGTCGTGATGGAACCTTGCATAAGCCATACGATTATTTCTCCGACAAGCAATGCCTCCTGTCATTCCACGAATTTACCGGCCACGGACTTACCGTTCATCCTACTGGAATCCCGCATCCCGCCAGAACCCTCGGCGAGCAGAGGTCCCCTTCAGAGTTTTGGAAGCAGGGCTGTTTTGTAAACCCAAGGGTCCACCTGCCCCTGCTGGTGGGAAAACCGGATAGACTTCCGGCTCGGGTTTAGAGAGTGCAGAGTAGCATTCGGGCATTTCCCAGATGCACTTCACATATGAGGTGCGTCCTAGGTCGTGTATTGCTTGCAGTCTCGCGCAGTGCTTATGCTTATCAGCCGGTCGCATCTACTGAGGCAGGTTGCTTGTCAGAATTATTGCCACGGCACGGCATAGTGCCAGGTATTCGTGGTAGGTGATGTAGTCCCTGCACCACTTCTGCGTTCCAAAAAGAAGAAGAGAGGATGGTGAGAAAGACCAAAGACGGTGCGCATTCGCACAAAGCTTGGCTGCAGCGGCGAGTTGTAAACAAGACTACGAGGAGGCTTCAGTTTCTGAAGCTGCACTTGATACCACCCCCAAGCTTCTGTTGTCAATCGTTTTCGATGCAACACGCAGCTTGAAACAGTGTGGCCTGTTGCTGGCTCCAGCGACGGTGAAAAACACCTGCGGCACCAGGACCACAGCACAGCTGCAACGCAATACACAGCAGTGAATCCTATCAGTAAAACGACCCTCCCCCCAGCAACGAGACGACATCATTGCAGATCTACGAACTTGCAGTGCAGTCCTTTACTGTGGGCCAGATGTGGTGATGTAACTTAGCTATTTCATTCAAATAAATATATCGAGTTCGATCAGAAAGGTACTGGTACAAACAGACGGCATGTCAGCTGACGCACGGGACATCCGAGTTCTCAAGTCAAAGGCCGCCGCCTCTGAAGCACCTCGCCAGTCTAGCTTCGCCCCATCCTTTCTGGCAGCAAATAGCTTCAGCAGTTCATCTACTAGTGTAGGAAAGTGGATGCATCCGCGAATAAATGGCTAAAGGAGCATACCAATGTGCCAGGGAGGCTAGATTGATGCACTTGCCTACAGAGGCTCCCTCTTCACGGTTCTCGGGGCATGGCAGCAACGGAGCATCTCCGGAAATGTGTCAGCTGCCAGCAACAAAGGCGCTTAGTTCACATTTGCTGCTTGCCCCTCTCGCCCATGCGATCCTGTGCGATTTGCTCATGGCCACGTGCGTCTGGCGTAGAAACTTCCTGTCCCGCTCCTCTCATCACAGCCCCCAGTGTGTAATCGCCCTCGAAAGGCTCCTAGAATTCCCAGCAGCGCCGATGCGGTCGACGCGGAGCATTTAGGATTAGTCTGACCTGATTGCCCTTCTTGCCTTTGGAGTATGATTTTGCTAAACCTGCTTGAACAAATTCGCATCGCACTGCAATCCTAGGAACACAACAGGACTTTGGTTTCTTCACAGAATTCAGGCCCAAGACATAGCCTTTGCAAATGCAAGTTCACCCCGAATATGCTCCCCTTCGGCCCTTGAGTTGCATGAGTGGTTCGCATTTGTGATTGCATGTCTTGCGTTGCAACTCCAAACGTACATAGAGTTCGGATCCTAAGACGACTCTGACAAATCAGACAGACCTATTGCAGGCTGGAAAGATTGAAGCAGACATCGCGAAGAATAGTCGCATAGTTGAGTTGCGCAGTTTCATTCGGACCCTACAAGAACATAGTAGAACTATACTTTAACCTTAAAGAAAATACTGAACATGTAGAACTGCATTAGGGCAGAGCAAGACAGCAAGACGGCCGTGATGGATGAAGCGCAGTCAGACTGGCGCGAGAAAACTTGGAAGCCTGCTGCTTTCCAGACGAGGTTCCGAAGTGTACAGGCCGAAGAGATAGTCGACAAACTCATCGAAGTCGATGCCCTCTTGGCGGCATGTTGTCTGTCTCTTTGGATGAAAATTCGGCATGCAGAGCGGCAGCGTCCGGGTGTGCGTGTGTGTTACGCTGATGCCGCTTGCGTAATTGTGTTGACGCTTCGCCTGTTTTAAGCAACCTTGGACGAATTCAAGATCTGAATCTGTGGACTTGTGGCAACAAGTTCCTTGCATCAGGCCCCAAAAAAACGGGCATCCAAGGATATGTTTGCAAGGCCTCATCGCCGTCGTGGTTCATATCGTCCCAGAGCACTCCCTGAAATTAAACTGCATGCTTGTTGCGAGCCATATACGAGCAAGGCCCCTGCAGGTGGCAATCCGAAAACAACAATAGAGAGACAAAAAAAGCTAAGGCCAATTCCTACTGGGAACTACACTCGCCCATGGGGGGGGACCATGATGTAGATAGCTTGCTACATCCCAAGATGCTCCAAGAATTCTGGAGCCGCCAGTCCGGCAGGCAAAGGAAAAACATCGTTGTCATGATCTGTGCAAGCACAGGTCTCACAACCCAGACTAATACTACGCAGAAGTCATGGCACAATCCTGAGCTTGAATTCGCCTCGGCTTCCAGCCGAGAGCGTCTGGAACAATGCCCCCCTTCCCAACCAAACATGGCATCCTGACCTGCCCTGAGACCTCCCTCCTGGCCCCTGCTGGGACCCATGCTGGCACCGACCTAAGACCTGAAACTTGTTGGGAATGCTTCTGGGACGGTTTTGTAACCCCCCCCCCCTCCTCTGACACCTGCTGGGCACCCCCCTTGTAGGACCCTTGCTGGACCGTTGCGCACGCTGCAGCCCGCGTTGGGCCAGCCCGGGCTGCCGCCGAGGCGGAGCGCGCAAGCGTCTGCAACTATTTTGGATGCGCACAATCGCTCGACATGTTGAGAACAATTACACTAGCCGTTGGACAAGGCTCTTGTGAGTTTTTCTTGCCAAAGGGGCCAGCTCCTCGTCTGTGATGTCTTCGCGCCCTTTCCTGAGAAGCACACCCATCTCCTCCTTGGCTTGTGCTCACCCGATGGCCAGTTTAGGGTTTTAAGGTTGTTCCGCTATTCATTTACCAGGTGTTCAGCCATTTTGCGCTTCACCTCGTGCACTCACAAAATCCAAGGACACTCGCACGCAGTCAACAACTGCAAGTGCATCTGAGCTCGCGTCACGACTCAAGATTCCATCACCATTCCTGTACATGTACATGCACTTTTGCGAGGGTGGTCTCGGAAGAATTTTCAGGTGAAACAAGTTCGCGGCTCCTCAGTTTCCAGCCGCAAAAAGAGCCCTTGTCAACCCCCAAGACCCTGAGACTCTGAGGTCCCGAACTCTGGGCCTGTCCAGTGCCAGGAACTTTGCTTTGATGTCAGTGATGGTGTAGGTTCCCACCACGGGACCTTCTGCAACTGAGCTTGGTTTTTTGATTTTGGGGCAATACTACCAGTAGACTTCCCCTGAAAAAGAGAAATACCACATAAAGTCAAATTTAAACTCACAGCTCCGAGCAATCCTGCACGACTCCCACCACGGATGCATCTGGATGTTACAAGCCAGACACACTGCCATAGGGGCATCCTACACAGACGGTGAGAGTCCATGCCTGTGCTGTACCACGGGTAGAATCTTTCCTCAAAAACATCAGCACCAGGAACAACAGATGCATGAGCCGATAGAAGCCCATTCAAGCCCCAAGAAAACCCAATACATGGGAACTCGAAAAGGCACCTGGCTTCATGCTCAGGATGACGCTATCCTGGAGGCGAACCAGTGGGAAAGCTTGCCCTTAGAATCACCGTATGTGTACCTGTTAAACACTGCTAAAGCAGCTTCTCGCCCTCGCCGAGTCCTCACCAGGTGACGCAACTTCGGGAGCCTTCGGCTTTGTCGGTGATGACTCGCCTGCATCTCAACGGCGTCCGCAGCAGCAAGCTAACACGAAGGTGATGCAGCAAAGAGTCGGGACGGTCTCCGGATGAAACTTCACAGGCGATGGCGGACGTGACAAGATTCGGTATAACATCTAGAATCGCGGCCTCCCACATAGGAAACGTTCGCGGGGAGGACACGGGCGCTGGACTTCCGGCGTCGCGGCCGTGCCGCGGTCGCCATGGAGGAGCCGAGATCTCGGACTCCCAGATAGTCTCACAGGGTTCAGATGATGTTCAGAGGACATTCAGGAAGTTAAAGATTAAGGCTTCTGGCTTACGTGATGATCGAGTCGGGCTGACTTTGCAGTGCCAAGAGAGTTCCTGGGGGATTCGATGGCCAAGCGCACGTCGCGTGCGGACGGTGTTCCCTTGCAGCCCCGGTGCTTGTCTGACTCAGCCAAAACACTGCAGTCATCTGGCAACATCTGTGAGAACAGCCTCGTACTGAACTTGTAGCCCTCCATCCATGCGAGTGGGATGTATGTGCAAAGGACTCTGGCTGCAAACTCACCTAGATTCACTAAACCCTAAACCCTAAACCCTAAACCCTAAACCCTAAACACTCACCACGCCCGGTGGTACTCCACTGGTGCAGTGTTCCCACAACCCAAATCCGCTGGGAGAGAGGCGCGATCTACCAGGTACCGTGGCTTTTGCTTGCCACCTCATCTCGGGCATCCAGTGCTACCTTGCTAGGCATCGCCTTGAGCAACCCTGACACTCCAACAAAAGCTTCCAAGGGTGCAGGGTTCAGGGATTAACTGTAGAAGTTTCAGGGGCGATACAGTCGTCAGCATCTTCTCCGAATCTTGCAAACTTCACAAGCTTTCACCCTGGAGCTGCCCCCCAAAGCAAATCGCGGAAGAACAAAATACACAGAGGCTTAGGGACCGATGAGGTTTCAACAGCACCTCAAATGACCAGCATCCCTTAAATCTGGCTGGTTCTTCGTAGGGAATGAGGGAATGAAGGCCCTATATAATCCCTTAAAGGGTATATGTATATATATATATATACCCTGTAGAATCCCTTAAAGGGTATATATGGGGCCCTCATTCCCTCATTCCCTACTAAGACTGTCCCTAAACCCTAAACCCTAAACCATAAATGTCAGGGGCCCGTACCCCGGATGTTCTCCAGTGGTCGCAAGTTGATCCGGCCAAAGAGCTGCGCGCACTCGAAGCTTGAAGGGCTCGAACCAGGGTTTAGGGTGTAGGGTGTTCCAAAGTGCCGCGGTCCGGACCCGCGCCAGGGAGAGGCGGCGGGTCGGGCCGCCTCGGTGCAGCGGATCCCACCCCAGCCAACCAAAGTACCGCCTTTTTCGGGTTTAGAGCGGTCTACCCCCCACGGCCCTCCTATCAAGGGGGCTTTCACCTCGACTCGCCCCGATGGGACGTGTTGACTGCTGCTGTTGCTTGAGCCTACACTTTCCTGGATCCAAACAGGGAGCGGGACAATCTGTTTCACCCATACTGTGTTTAAGACACCCTCAAGCCCAAACCTAAGCCAGGGCAAGCCCCATGTCGGTTTTTCCAACCCGAGCCATGTTGGTCGCAGGACTCCGGTATAACCCGGATGAGATGTATGGAATGCCACTTGACACCAAGTCCGGCTCCAACATCTATTCCGGCACAGCCTCCGGTTTCCACGATTGGAAATTCCGGACCCAAGCTCATTCATATGGCAGAACGGACCCCCGCATTTCGAGGGCCAAGCGCGGAAGGCCCGGCCTCCCCCGCTGGCACAAGGGCTTCTCTGGCCCAGCCTGCGCCAGGTCTTTTTTGACAGGACCTTCCCCGCTACGGTCGCGCGCAAGGCATTCTTGCGCAAGGGCTTCTTGGGCAGTGTGCTTCAGCCTCCCCCCCAGAGGCGGGGGGGGCACCCCAGGAGTTTTTGGCCGCCGGGATCGTGCGCGGCTTGGCCTCACGTGCTGGGGTCGCGCAAGGCTTCTTGGGGCTGTGTGCTTCACAAAGAAGGACAGCCGCGCCTCCTTCGCCGGATCGTGGGCAAGGGGTTTTTTGGGCTGTCTCCCCCACCCGCCGGGGTCGCGTGCAACGGCTTTCTGGGTCACCGGGGTCGTGCGCAAGGGCTTCTTGGGGCTTGGCCTCCCCCGCTGGGGTCGTGCGCAAGGGCTTCTTGGGGCTGGACCTCCCCCGCCTGGGTCGCGCGCGCGCGGGGGGTTTAGTAACATTGTGGCCTATGGCTAGCAGGGATGCATCAGGTGTGGCAGGCTCGATCTGCTTGGCAAAGCAAGCAGATCTCGAAGCGGTAGCGATGGCGCGGGCGGCCTATGGTTTAGGGTTTAGGGTTAGGGTTTAGGGTTTAGGCCCCCCCCTGAAGAATCGCAAGCCTGTCGTTCAAACCGTGCTGTTCTGCAGTATTGCGGGTGCTCCGGGTTCCTTTCTTGTGTTTCTTGGGCATGCCAATGCACAGGCATTGATTTCTTGGGAAGGACAGTGAGATGAGGGAATGTCGGCTTTGGTTCAGGAAACTATTTAAGCCTTCAGGAATGCACCTGCAGCTAGAACATGATGGCTAGCTGAGCTGTGTGTTCCCACTATCACCTGGCGTGCCTTTTCAGTACATAAACAGATCAGCGCCTTATTGACGACGAAGCCCAGATGCCCTTGCGTGGAGAGGGGCCTTCATGTACTCCGCGTTGCATTTGTCCAGATGTTCCTTTCCAGGCAACCATGTCAAGATAGAGTGTTTTCGAGTTTCGTGTACTACGCTTGTATAGAACTTCGAGAGCAACAGCCAATCGCCTCCAGCTGCCATTGGTGTCGGCATTTCTGGACATGCTTCTCTGCCTGACCCCAGGGGAGCCAACGGTCAATCCCCTTTTAGGGTTTTGGGTTTAGGGTCTAACCCTAAACCCGCTAAACCCTACACCCGAACCTCCAAGAACAAGAGGCGCAACGGTTCCAACACACATTTGATGAATCTGAGCTCACATCAGATGGGGGTTTACGATTTCAGGGGTACCCTTTCTTATAATGCGGGATTCCTACTATTTGGGGATCTATATTGGGGTACCCAATTTTCGCAAACCCCCAAGTGGCTGGCATGCGCTATAAAAGTTCAGAGCCTCCTCCATGAACTTCTGGTAGGCCAGCGTTGTCCTGAGGGCATGCGCCAGAAAGCAAAACGGAAATGGAAAATGGGTCGTCATCCATGTAGAGCCCATAGATCGAGATCCAGAACAGCCAGCCGCCTTTCTTTCGGCCTCGAAGTAAGGGCCGGGCTTCTCCGTGATCTTGAGGTCTGCCATGCTTCAGCACGCCTCATGCGATCCATCCCGTACCCAAGCCCCGACGAAGCTGCCGACGGTAAACTTACGTCATTGGCTGTCTGCATCCAGGCAGCGCGAATGCCAAACACGGAAAGGCACGATGTAGCTGCCAGACAGTCTGTCCTACAAGCCTTTGCGGCGCCTGTGCTTGAGAGGGAGCACCTGTTCTATCACACCTTGCTGGTTTCGTGGTGTTTGCTGACCCGCAAAGCTACATCCAGCATCTGCGCTCAGCAGCTGGGCAATACTTGCTGGGAGGCGTGTTGTTCCTCAATGCAACTCGATGCTAAGTGACTAAGTGGCACTTACAAGTCTGACGACCTGAGCATCTCTTGGGCCTCAGCGACATGTGCAGGATCTCTTTGTCGTGGAAAATCTTGCCCAAACGAGGTGGCAACTAAAATTTTCACAGCTCTTCTGGATCTCTGGGTTAAGGGCCTGGGGGTGTTGATATTTTCGCTGAGGATGTTGAGCTGATTCGAAGTGACAGTCCGAATCTAAAATCAACCCTCGAACCCTCAGCCCAGTCCCCGGTGCACAATCATTCCACAGAGCTGACGAGATCCATCATATGGCCCTTGGTACTGTCACTAGACCAAGTACAGAGAGCCAGGAACATTGAAAGAACCCAGCTCAGCTTTGCTCCTGCAGCTTAGACCGGAAAACAAAGTCTCAAGATGTACAACAAGGTGTACATGCAAGCAGAAGTTGGCTACGTAAGGGGCACCAATCGTGTTCATGGGTAAAACAAAATCTGTCCATAGTTCGTTGGAACACGAGCAACCCATGCATATACACATATATATATATTATGTATACGCAAAGCCTTAACAATGTTCCAACACAAACATGCACAGATGCAGTTATGACTATATGATAGACCTTACAGATGCACATTGTGACGCTATTGACTTTTTGATAGACTATGTGTACACATACCTAATAGAAAGGACGGAAAGAAGGAAGGAAAGCTGGAAGAAAGGAAGCAAGCAAGGAATGACGGCACGTGGACAACTGGTAGCGTTCAGGTTTTGATTCTCTTCTTCTTCTTCTTCTTCTTCTTCTTCTTCTTCTTCTTCTTCTTCTTCTTCTTCTTCTTCTTCTTCTTCTTCTTCTTCTTTGGGGCAAGGGGAGGACCCCCCGCGCGGTTGCGCGCCCCGCACGTTTCACTCTCTCTCTTTGTTCCTCTCCCTGCCTCTCGCTGTCTTTGGATGGCCTCTCTCTCTCTGCATAAACACGCAAGAAGTGCAGCATGGGCAGCAGACAGACAGATGCACGGAAGTGACGCATCGACTAGTACTGATTTACAACCGTCAGTTCGTACATGCTGTGCAGAAGAGTGCGTTGCTATGCAGCTATACCAAACTTGGGGCAACTTCTGGCTGAGCCTCTGATCTTCTCATCGCACTGGTACTTTACACTCCTCTCCGGGTGCTGCAGAGCCAGTGAGGCCGCGAGGCCTCGAGTCGAATCTTATGCAAGTTTCACCGATGAAAGGTTGCGCCGACGGCTCTTGGAGTTATGTTTTTTCGCGATGCTCGGAGTGTCGGGTTCAGATGGGTTCAGCATCACACACACATCACTTAAGGAACGATAGTATACACTCACCAATAGCAGCAAAGGAAAACGCTACAGCACTTAGGTTCAAAAGGGTTGACAAGAGCTTGAGTTCAGGGGCCAGGGCTTTAGGGATTTTGGGGAAAGTCTGAGCCGCGGTTTAGGGTTTAGGGTTTAGGATTTAGGGCTTTCAGTCGGTCTGAAGCCGTACAGCGTTTGGGGCACAACCCTGCAAACCCTCCAACCCTGAAGCCCGACACCGCAAACATGAAGGTTTGGGGTTTAGGGGTTTAGAGTTTAGGGCTTAGGGTTTAGGGGAGAAGGGGTCTAAGGTTTAGGGTTTAGGGCTAGAGCTTCGGGTTTACACAGGAGCCCTCTTCAACTAGAATGGATACTCTGGGCAGTTCGATCTGCTTCTTACTTGCATTCTGAATGTATAAGGAGAGATGCTTAAACCCTAAACCCTAAACCCAGAACCCTAAACCCCAAAACCTCTTAGGCCTCTCAACGATGAACCTGAGATGGATCTCCTTTCACTTCGAAGCGCAAATGTCTGGAACCGTCTTAGGGCAGTTCCATGGTCCCTTACTATGCGCCCTTATATATATATATACTGGGTTAGAGTTTAGGGCTTAGGGTTTAGGGTTTAAGGTTTGTGTAAGGGCCCATGCTTCAGAACCCGTGAGGAATGTAAGGGACCATACTCGGGGACCATGCAACTTCCCTTAGAAGCCGGATAGCAACGTCAGGCCTGGCGCCACAAAAAGGATTTTGCATATGCTCAGGCAGCAGAGTTGTCTTGCCATCATACTTCCAGCAATTAGTTGTGGCAACGCCATGAGCGCCTTTCCAAGCGGCCTGACGTCGGAGGAAAGCCCAGAGAATTTGGGAAATAGGCCTCAGAAATAGCAAGCCTTCGGTGCATTAGCACGGCTTGGGGGGAGGAGCCCTCAACCCGAAACCCCCAAAGGACTGAAAGCCTACACCTTAAACCGACAAAACCCTAAACCCTGTCTCCTATAACCTGGAGTTCGCTGCCAATGTTCAGCCAACCCCGCAAAACAACTATTCCAGATCCCCTCCTGGGCACGAAACGCTAAGCCCTAAGCCCTTTCAGCCCACGGTCTCAGAACCCAATGCCCTAAAAATCTTGAGCTCACCCGTTTCTTACCTCACTCCTAGAGAGCGGAATCTAGGGTTTAGGGCTTCGGGTTTAGGATTTATGTAGGGTTTAGGGTTTAGATTTTAGTGTTTAGGGTTTACGGGCGATCCGCCTTCCCAAGCCGGTGTGGCTTCACTGCTGCGGCAAGTCTTTGTGCCGGATCGCACTTTCACGGTTCGGACCCGATTCGCGACGGCCTCACACAAGAGTCCTTGTAGTTTAACATATGTTTGAAGGATCCATGAAGTCGCTCGCAAGTCTTCATGAAACTGGGGGCACAGGGAAAACCACGTTTCCCTGTCCTCCACACTACAGAAGTGCCGTCGTGTGCAGCACCCTGCAAGAAATGACGTGTGATTCTCACATGGCCAACCCTGCGCAGCAGATCGCCCGAGAATATGTTTAAATTGGAAAGCCCCTTAAGCCCTACCTAAACCCCAAAAACATGATGACCCTTCTTTATGGGTCTTTTTTATGGGTGTTGGGCTATCAGCTTACATGTATTGGGGGTTCAGGCACTAGCAGAGGAACTCGTCCCACAACACCCTAAACGCTAAACCCCGGCATCTGAAAAGGGCTTAAGATCCCTCAGACCCTGAAATTCTGAACCCCAAGCCCAAAATCAACCCCATGATCTTACAGGCTTTGGGATCCCCAAGACCCCTAAATTCTGAACCAGAAGCCCCAACATCCTGAAGCCCTAAAAAACTAGGATGGCCCTTAAAACCCTCTGAAAACATGTTCCTGAATATGATCCTCTTAACCCCAATAAAGGAAACCCTAAACCCTAAACCCTAAACCCTGGCCCAGAAAACTGCCATAATGCTCCCCACGCGGGAGCTGACAGTCGCGGGTGGCTCAGCTGAAGCCAAAGCCCTGCGCACGGAGGGTTCGGGATTGGGGTTTAGCGTTTTAGGGGTTTAGGGTTTTAGGGGTTTAGGGTTTTAGGGTTTTGGGGTTTTAGGGTTCTAGGGTTTTAGGGTTTTAGGGTTTTGGGGTTTTGGTGTTTTGGGGTTTTGGGGTTTAGGGTTTTGGGGTTTTAGGGTTTCAGGGTTTTAGGGTTTCAGGGTTTTAGGGTTTGGGGTTTAGGGTTCGGGTTTAGGGTTAGGATGACTAGGGTTAGTGTCTAGGGCTGAGGACTTACATACACACAAACAAACATGCGGGACATCCGCTGTATGCGTCAACCACCAACCAGCTCCACAACACTACACAAGTATGTAGAATACCCTAAACCCTAAACCCTAAACCCTAAACCCTAAACCTAAACCCTAACCCCTAAACCCTAAGTAGAACAAGAACCGAAGCAACCTCAGGTCCAATCCTCGGCGTCCGAGGCAGTCGGCCCTCTCAGGCTGCCCCCATGTTGTCACCGGGCGCTATGCCTCTCCAGTGACTTCATGGAGGCCAAGATCTAAATGGAAGTGCGTCTGGGTCTCATCTTTACATGTTGATGATTTTGGGATACGCCAGCACTTCGGAACGAACTGTGAAAGAGCGGGCGACAAGCGTGGAAGCTAGTCTCTGAAAGCAGGTAAGTATCTCTGTCACACTGCATAGTGGATGTTCGGATTCAGCGGTCCGAGCAACCAGCGTAATGTTGACACGATGTCGCAGCCAGGTTATGAGAACTCGGGTACACAGCGTGGCATTCGTCATCGCATCAACGTTTGCACAAAGCCCTCTTTGATGCAACGACTACAATTGCACGTGTCCAGCCGTCAGCCTGGGCAGCCAAAGCCATTTCGTGAGCTCAACTTCAATCCCTTCGGGAAGTGTGTTCAGGGTTGAGTCAGATAAAATCTGACTCTAACCTGAGCCCTGGAACTGAATCGGCGCAGGTCCTTGTGGCGGTGCTTGTGGCGGTGCTTGACCGGAACTCTCGAGCAATTGGCCTTGGCAGCTCAGGGACTTGTGCGCTAATTATGACAAACATGTTGTGGTGTTGGACGTGTGCCCGTCACACTGAGACGTCTTGCAAAATCGCAAGACTCGCGGCTTTCATGATGCACAGGGCCTCAAGCACCCCCAAAACCCAGGAACCTTGCACTGACCCCTTTACACTCCCACCTCCCACTTCGGACCTGGAACCTTGACCCCAGCCTGCGCCGAGAGATAGTTTGGGCAGCACTTCCGAAAGCCATGCTCATGTACAACTGGCGATTCGGCTCCCGCCACGCGACATCCACCAATGTTCTGTCCACCTTTGACCTGTCCGATTCAGACTCTCGAACAAAGGTCTAGATCCTTATGCAACCCATTTCTGCAATGAATTGCTAAATTTCGGTTGGCCTTTTAGGATGTTCGAGGCCGGAAAACCTGAAGTTTTGGGGTTCAAACTCGGGGCATACACGCCTTGACCTTAACATTCAAGCTCTTCCACCGCTTGCAGCCTACATAGCCTGAACGTGTCAAGATTGGGCTGCTTACTGCCCGGTACACCTTATAGACCTCAACTGAAATATGCAACTAACGCGGATGCTTCTGAGATCTTCCGAGTCGCCCAAACATAGCGACCCGATGAGATGATGGTTGACACTACGCAAGTGAGATGCTTCTCGGCGCTGCCGGCGATCGTGTCCCCGGAGCCGTCTGTGCACGTATCCGCTAAATTGGTTTCAATGACCTGTGGGCGGACAACGAAAAAGTCCGAGTTCATTGTGCCGTTGCAGTCTACAAAGATGGCATCGACAGATGAATTCCCCATTGTCTCCAGCAGCCAGTTGTCATCCATGATCAAAACGTCCGGATTGAGCCTGACAACCCAGTCATATCTATCGAACCATTTCTCTTGATGTCCCTTGGACCCAAACCCGTCAACCACGGCTTGAATGGCGCCCTCTTCATAATTTGCTGGCTCATAGTGCTTGACAATCAAGTTGGTGAAGTGAAGTTGCTCGAGGTCCTTGCTGCCGACATCCCCGCTCGTATACAGGATGAGGTCCGCATTTCGGACGAGGGTGAGCTGTTGTCGTGCAGTTTCCCAGCAAGGCATGAACTCCTGGTGCATCGTACCTCTGCTAATCTTATCAATCAGTAAGGACCGCCGTGGGTCGTCACGCACCCCGGAAGATAAAATGAAACTGACAAAAAACTGCACTTTAGGTTGCTCCAATGCGTGGTCATGAAGATTGCAACTCGGAGCGGTGCCTTGGCAGGTCGTGCTCTACCAAAATGTCAGGTATCTGTTTCGGATTGGCTTTGGAAGCGTCATCTTACAAGCCTATCTCGAGTGAAAGCGGACTATTGCACTTCTCCGAGAAGCCGTCGCGCTGAGTTGCAGGGAGCACTGGTCATCCGGTTCTTGGCATGTCGAAACACCTTGGGTGGAGGAATTTGAATCCAGCCAAGGCCCGGCTTCGTATAAAGGATCTCCGAGCTAAACGAACATCTCCGACCCCTGTTTTAAGTCTTGAGTTTTCAGGGTGACCCCTGTTAACAAACAAATTTTCCAGCGGATGTGGTCTTTGAAGGCTTTGTATTTAAGACATGCCAGAATGGACCTGTTCCCGCGATGGTGCTCAATCGATGGAACTGCTAGCTTCTAACTGCCCCATTCTCAATTGCTCCACCCCCCATGCCTAGATAACCTAAACCCATTTCCATACAGAATGTGTCTCCGAGCCTGAACCCCAAACCCTCTAAGGCTTCAAGGTCTAGATACTAACCCTGAAGTCAATACACCCTGCCTCCATCAGCCACTGAAGTGGCCGCAAGTGCACAGATGAAGCCAATTGTGCGGCTCACCCGAGGCGTCGCAGACATGCATTCTAGTTCAGTGTCGGAGTGCAAGCATGGGATGGCTAAAATGGCGCAGGCGGCCAAGACAGCACAGCAATAGCGCAGAGTGACGACATAGTGTCCAAAAGAAGGATACAAATGATAGAGCTTCAGAAACTAGAAAACCCCCCAAAAATAAGAAAAAAGATTATTAATACGGCTTCATATTTTTAGTGAATTCTCTTAATAAATCTCTAGACCAAATATGAAAACTATAAATTAATCCAAATAAAACATGATAAAATATAAGAAAATTATTGTATGAGAAGTGAATTCCAGTCCAACAATAAATATTAAATCCTGTAAAGATAAATAGAATTATAATAAGAGCAAAGAATAATAACCAAGAACTATTAAGAAGAAAACAAAATGAATCTGATGTAACTTCTAAATGTTTAGATTTCCAAAATACCAAATAATACGTACAAAAGGGCCTCATAAAATATTTGAATTTTTCTAGCCCTTACAATTTACTATTAAATGCTGGGGAAAATAGTATATTAAATGTACTATAATTCTATGGACAAGTGAATGAACGGAGTGAATGACACACGCATACACGCACAGACGCACAGACACAAAGACACGCAGACACAAAAATCGACACACAGACACACAGACACACAGACACACAGACACACAGATGCACAAACGCACAGACCCACAGACACACAGACGCACAGACACACAGACGCACAGACCCACAGACACACAGACACATAGGCAGACAGACAGACAGACAGACAGACAGACAGACAGACAGACAGACAGACAGACAGACAGACGCACAGACCCGCAGACACACAGACACACAGACACACAGAGACACACAGACACACAGAGACACACAGACACACAGAGACGCACAGACACAGAGACACACAGACGCGCAGACGCACAGACGCACAGACGCACAGACGCACAGACACACAGACACACAGACAGACAGACACACAGACGCACAGACAGACAGACGGACAGACAGACGCACAGATCCGCAGACACACAGGACAGACAGGACAGACAGGACAGACAGGACAGACAGGACAGACAGGACAGACAGGACAGACAGGACAGACAGGACAGACAGAACAGACCGGACAGACAGACAGACAGACACACAGTTACACAGACACGGGGACACACGGGGACACACGGGGACACCGGGGTCAGGGACACAGAGACCACCCCCCCCCCCTCCCCCGCCCCCACCCACCCCACCCCTCCCCCTCCCCCCCAATCTTTTCTACAAAGCGCAGGCGGCCGGTTTGAAATCCCAGCCCGATGCGGGAGACTGCACCCTAAAAGGGTCAAAGACGGCAAGTCTTATCCATGGAAAACAGAAGGCCCTCCTTCGAGGAACTCTCATGGCTTCCAGGGGCATCACCTGAACCACCACCATTGCACACTTGTGACGACAGACTTCTTCCCTACGGTAACATCTAGCAACTTCGGGGGCAGAAGCTGCGTGAGCCCTAAGAGTCTGGATGGGAACGATGTCCACACAGCTGCCGAACTAAAACGAAAACATACCAACATCTCCTTCGTCTTCTCTATTCTTCTCTTCTACAAGAACCGAAACTCCAAATACTCATGACTGAAGACCTCCACAGCTTATCTGTTGCAGCGGCCTTCCGGGAAGAGAGGGCGTGTCCGGGCCCAGCATGTGATTGCAGAAAGTTTCCTTGACGCGGGTTGTGGTTCTGAATTGGGCCTGTGTGGGAGCCTTAATTAAGGGCTCCATACGGGGTTCCCTGTGAAACTCTGTGGCAAGGACGCCGGGATGCGTGCTAAGCTGCTAAGCCTGTATTTCGAGCCTTTCACTCTGCTGCACTGCGCTGTGGACAAGCCGAAAATTGTTTGGGACTTATATGGCTCATGAGGTGTACCTCGCATGCAAAACTGAACACGCTATTGTTTGGCAGGAGGTGTGAAGGTATTACCCCTTTCCGAAGCGGGTTCGCGCGTCCTGCTACATGGAACACTTTGATGTGCTATGAAGGCAAGACAATGCTGGCTAGCGCAGCTGTGCGACCAGCAGCGTCACGAAAGGCGGTGCCTCTGTCCTGAGCAGGTGATGCAGGGCCACTAGCGCCAGTGAAGTCAAGCCGAATGAGAGACGCAACTTGCTCGAGCGGTCAGGAGCCAGGGTTGTTATCTGCATGCTCGGTGCCTATTGTGCAACCAAGCAATTTTGGAACCAGTGAATACTGAGGCGGTGGAATCATGATGGGATACTGTTGAGATGCTGAAGCCACCTCCCGCAGCATGAGCTTTGGAACGCCGAAATTCTTGAAAGCGGAGACCATGAGAAACTGACACGGGAGATGCGATGCCACTGTATTTCCCTTCACAAACAGTCCTCGTGACCGGGTACTGCGAGCTGGGTGCCCGCTGTGCCTGGCCGGTGAGCATCTGAGCAACCCAACTGCCCACCCGTTACAAGCCTTAAGTCGGACAAGGTTACAATACCTCCTGCCAGAAGCAAGCGTCTATCCACGACTACTTCGTTACGGAAATTTATCGTTTACTCCAGATTGCAATGCGTGCCGTCATTCCCTGTGCAGGAGGGTTGGAGTGTTGACGCTAGCAGCTGGGTTCATTTCCGCTTCCTCTGAGCAAGCAAATCACAAGTGGCGCGGGCAGGTACAGATTTCGAACTGTTTCGGGAGGGCAGAGGAATCTGGTACATCCCGTAACATAGTGGGCTGCTGATATATTATCGACCTTTCCCCATTATCCTTGCAAGCCCTGGGCGGCATGATCTAAGTAAGGCTGTTTGCTCCTAACAGCACTCAGCCCAAATTCAACTCAAGAGATTCAAACTAGGTGGCCATGCCTGGATGGATGGCTTTGGGGGCCGTATCCTCGCAGGCCGCAAAAGAAGCAACTGCCACTGATGCAATCAGCATGCCGAACTCCTGCAGCTGCCCAGTCAAATGTGCCAAAGTTGTTGTTTCTTACAAACACTACCATGATCCGATTACCCCTGAGAACCCTACACCCTCAATGTAATTCCGCAACAGGATACCGCAACCTGACACTGCGCCGAGCGGCGGTGCGATCATGCCCACCCCGACGCTGCTCTGGGGCTGGCAGTCATGCGTGATGAAGGATTCTGTGATTGCAAAGGGCTCTCACCAGTTCTCTAACTCTCTCAGTTTTCTTCCTTTCTTTGGGGCTGTCTGAGAATTATTGCAGAGTGGGTGTTGCTATCGGGAAAATGATGGGAGAAGAAGAGGAGGGGGGGAAAGGGTGGCGGGACACCCAACTCTGACCCTTGAGCCTTGTGAGCCCGGGATGGCGATGTGCCCGAAGTGGCCACCTCCGCCTGTGGTTCACGAGGTGGTTCACGAGGGTTCAGTCTTGCATCCGTGGACAAGCGCGGAACCTCGGATAAAGGCTCGAAGAACCAGACCCAGCAAAATCTTCGAAAAATGCCCTTTCGCCCTTCCCAGTGAAGGACTGCCCAAGGCCCCTGAAGCCAAGTAGAGGATCGAGCCAGGCGTTCTCAGACCCACGATGCAAGGCAGAAACGCCCCCTCGCCTCGCTACCCTCGGAGCTTGGGGCTGCTGGCCTGCGGTTCCCCGAGGTTCCCGGATAAAGGTGGAGTTTCAGGGTTTTGCCTGGAGTACTACTAGCCGCAAGGCTGCAATTTTAGGGTTGTAGTGGAGGGGGGGCTCGGGGGTAAGGGCTTAAAGTCCAGTGAAGACAGGCCAACTACAGGGTTTTGAGACAGCGCAAGCTCTTGTCGCGACAACGAAGCCACAGGCCCCAGTCGCGTCAGCACCAGGCGTTGTTAACAGCAGGAGCTCGTTCATAGTCAGATTGGAAAGTCATGCAGGGCGGTGATGGGTCATGATGGGTCTCCTACTCCTCCTCCAACCCAGGAAGTCTCTCCCCCCTAAACCCTAAACCCTAAACCCTCAACCCTCAACCCTCAACCCTCAACCCTCAACCCGAAACCCTTCACTCCCGGGCTCCGGACGCTCTTTGCTGGACGCCCGGCCGAGGGAAAGCTGCCCTGGGCAAGCGAAGGAAAGGAGGGATCCCTGAACCTGGACCCTCAACCCCAAGCCCTTTATCGGAACTCTCCTAGAAAGACCCTACTTTGAACCGAAACCACACAGTGTACAACCCCTAAAACCCCAACTGGCCCTGAAGCCGGTACTTGCAAGAGCCCTAAACTTCCAAGCTTCCAAACCCCTGACTGGCCCCGAAACTCCGAAACCCCAAACAAGCCCCATAACCCTCATAACATCCCAGAACCCTAATAGCCCCGAGTCAGCGTAGCGACCCCAATAACCCCCAACGGGCTTATATATTCGACCATATCCCTCGAAGCTGGGGTCTCAGCCCAGGAGGAAATCCTGCTGGCATCCTTGGGCACACAAGAGGTCTGAGGGTCTTTCGGGCGTTGTTGTGTTTTTGAGGAGGGTTTCTACCCCGTAGGGTTTAGGGGTTAGAGGAGTTTTTGATTGAGTTTGATTGAGGGTTGAGGGCTCACAGGGCCTGGATGCTCTGGATGGGGAAAGGGGAGAGGAGGAGAGTTTTCGGAAGTGCGGAATTGCGTCGAATGCACGCAGACCCAAGCAACCATACTGCTGCCGGCCTTGTGTACCGAAGACTGCATGAGCCATGATCTTAGAATGAGCAATGATCTCAGCATGGCGCGACCCAGGAAACGGAGGCATGGCGCCAGGATAGGGCAGCGCACCCTGATGAGTCAGAAACTCGGCCCGTCTGAGAATCGACAGACACGGTCCAAGTCTCTCGTGACATGGCAACACCCTGCAGGGCTCACCATAGGCCCGGCGATGGGTGCTGAGCTCTTCATCATGGCCGCCTGCTTTGAACATGTTTCAGCACAGAGTCATTGACGTCATGCCAAGTACTGCAGAGTTCATCGCATGCTCGACTTCAACGAGCCTGCACCATCCAGGTTGCCAGCACTGCGGGGTCAACAGGCACCTGTCGTCTCAAG